CAAATCCCCTCCTCTCTGGCAACCATCAGTCTGTTCTCTGTATCTATGAGTCTGTTTCTGTTTTGTTTGTCATTTATTTTGTTCTTTAGATTCCACATATAAGTGACGTCATAGGGTATTTGTCTTTCTCTGACTGACTGATTTCACTTAACATAATACCCTCTAGGTCCATCCATGCTGTTGCAAATGGTAAGATTTCTTTTTTTTTTTTTTAAATAGGTGAGAACTGTTCCATTGCATGTATGTATCACAACTTTTTTACCCATTCATCTATTGATGGGCACTGGGGTTGCTTCCATAGCTTGGCTATTGTAAGTAGCTGCAAAGAACCTAGGGGTGCATGTATTCTTTTGAATTAGTGTTTTGGGTTTCTTTGGATATATATACACAAAAGCAGAATCACTGGGTCATAAGACAGTTCCATTTTTAATTTTTTGAGGAATCTCCATACTGTTTTCCATAATGGCTGCACCAGTCTGCATTCCCACCAACAGTGCAAGAGGGTTCCCTTTCCTCCACATCCTCTCCAACACGTGTGGTTTGTTGGTTTATTGATAATAGCCACTCTGACAGGTGTGAAGTGGTATCTCATTGTGGTTTTAATTTTTGTTTCTCTGGTGAACCAGTGTCAGATTTGAATTTGGATTCATTAAATTGCAGGTCTTGAGAACTGAAAAGGATCATTCAATAGAACTTTGTCTACTTTTGATGAACTCTTAGCTTACAGAGGCTGTTTAAATGCGTAGCTAGGTTACCTATCAGAATACTTACACAAGAAATCAGGCATCCTTAGTTTTGTCTACTGTCCAATGAAAAACCTCCGTTTCTGCATAGGGAGTAAAACCCAGTGGTATTTGGTATTTTGGATGTAAAATTCTTGTTTGTGGGATTGTCCTGTGTTGAGCAAGCTGGCCTCAGTGCAGTAAATGCTAGTAGTGCTCTCTAGTGGTTGTACGAATAAAATCGCCCCTGCCTGTTTCCAAAGACTGCGGATACCCACCTGGCTGAGAACCAGTCTTCATTTCTTTTGCTTCTAATAGGCTCCGACTTATTTGTGCATCCACGGTTCTCAGATGTGAAAACTCTGTCTCGTGTTTGCGGGATGCGCCTACCTCTGAAAATGCCATGGACGTGTGCATAGGCTCTTGTATGAGGAACTGGACTCAATCACTAATATTTAAGAACCTACTGCACTTAAGAGATTAAATACCAGTTCTGCAGGGTACATATTCTAGGTGAGATCTGGAGTGAAAATCACAGTGCCAGAATATTAACCCAACCTTGACTCCACACAAAGAACAAAGTGAGAGTTTAGAGAACCTAGGACCACATAAGTGAGCAGCTCTGCCCAGAGAGCAGCCAGGCGGTTCAGTTCAGTGGTTTAAAGTACATTCATATTGTTGTGCAGCCACCACCACCATCCATGTCCAG